AGAGTTGCTTGTTATTTCTTTGGAATTAAATTATGTCTCACTCATCATAGTATCATTATCCCTCGGAATAAATACATATGAGATATTTTATCAGGTTATAATATGCATAACCTTGCTTCAACCAAGACATTACTTCTTGGTCTCAAGCTACTATTGAATGTTGATGATCCTTGATGACTCCAAATATAAACATATTCTTAGCTTGACAAAATTGTGTATTATTTGAATTTCTGTATAAAAACCATCATAATAACTTGTTAATGGCATACATTATTGATTTATATCTTTTGGCATGAATCAGAGTTCGTTTGTTGAGGTTATTAACGATTCTTGTCATTTTTAAGCAGTATTTTGGTGCCAGAAAAGCTAAGGTAGACACCACAAGCGACATCCACCTCCGCTCGCAAGCGACGGTTACATCACCTAGAAAAGACTAAGGCAAGAGAGACAAACGGTAGCTTCTACCGCTTGAAAGCGATAGTCTCTCCCGCTCGCAAGTGATGGCCCAGACGCCCACCGCTGCAGAATGACAGCAGAGATTAATTAAGTGTTCCAACTGCAGCGGTACAACCATTCCATTGCCAGTCAGCACAAGCAAGCCTAGCTGCGTTGATGGCCTCCGGCAAGCGAGGAAGGCCTGAGCCGTTACAATCCTCTGCAAGCGAGCGGGCACCCTAAGAGTTACGGCCAGCAACTGCTTCAACAGAATAACTGCCATCAACCGCCTAACTGCCTAGCGGTTGAAACTGCTTTGTAACTGCTTGCGACCGTTCCTTTTCACCTACTATAAATAGGGCCAGATATCTCTATGTAAATATACTTGGATTGGAGTATTTTTAGAGATTAATTTCCTGCACATTCTAACTATCTTCCTGTTTTTCGAGAGCTCTAACCCTGTAAGGGAGTTCTTCACATGAATGGCCAAGGGAGTAGGGATTTTCCTTCTCCCTTGGCCAAGACTTTACCGCTTACTTAGAGTAGCTTACTGCATAAGATTACAACTTTCTAGAACTAGCATTTCCAACTTTATTAGTAAATAATGAAATATCATTAAGTTCTTCATCTCTATTTCTTTCACATTTTCTTCACACTTGTATAAACTTTGTATTTAAAGAATTTCATTTCACTGGTTTAGAGCATGAGAAGAATTGATTATCTAAGTCTTGTCTTTTGCCAAAAGCGTTTTCAAGGTAGTTCAATGTAGTTAAGTACGCGGGAGCCTTGTCGACCTGCTTAACTACTGTTTTGAATTCAATTTTGATTAAAAAGAGGTAAGAGAAGGGTAAAGTCACTAATGAGGTAGAATTTGGAAAAATTCATGGGGTATAGACGATGGTCTATTAGGTCACAGAATCTCCTAGTGACAGTAGAGTTTCTTTCTTATAATATTCCAATTTTGGGTGTCATTGAAGTCTTGTTGTAAATCCCTTAATGTCAGATTCCAGTGATAAGAATTATTTATAATTCGGTTTATATATTTATATTATCTCCTTCCATCGCTTCCGTATTATACATATACCTCCGTTAACACACTTACACCGCTCGCTCATTACATCTAGAAAAACCTAGCCATTAAGTAACGCACAGTTCAGACACAACGCCTCTCCCTCACTCTCCACCGCTTACATATGTATATATATATCGTGTCATCCGCTCATGTCCCGTTCACTCGATTATCGCTGGCACTTCACCGCTCGCCTTCGCTCCGCTTGTCTCCACTCACTTTTACCGCTTTTACTTACCGCTTTCCATAGAATAGAATCTGGATCCGCTGCAGAGCGGGTCCTTTACTGCATTTTTCGTCGCTTTCTCAAGATCTACACTTGATTCAAAATTCATGACTTAAAATCCTTGTGTTCGACCTGGAAACTCACAAGTAAAAAGAGTATAAATAATTGTGATAACTACTCAGGATCTACGACCACAATCTTTTACTATATCTGACCGTCTTTTATAGTTACTCACACCTTGATTTTCGAATATAAAAATTCCCTGTGAAAATGTATAAATTGCGTTTCAATAAAAATTTAGTTATCATTCCTCTATCTCAACCTTAAGAGTACATGAAGTTCATTGGACGACTTCTTTACCTCTGCATGATACAACCATATTTATCTTATTATGTATAACATTTAAGCCAATTTGTGGCTTCCCAAAGGTTGCCCATCATTTAATATGGTATTGAAAACAACATAATATTTTGGTCTTTTTTTATCTTGCATAACATAATCTTGCTCTAACAAGTTTTAGTAATGTCGATTGGAATTTTTGTTTGTCTACTCCAAAGTTACTCGTAGGCTATTATATCTTTCTTAACCATTCTCTTGTCTTTTGAAAAACAAAGAATCAACACAATGTCTCACATTCCTCCATAGATGTTGAATATCAAAGTATGGATGCTTCTTCTTCCTTGTTAATCTTTTTGCTCAATGATTTATAGATATTAGTGTCTTATCCAATCACTCTGTTATGTGACAACAAAATAATCCAACAAAGTGCAACATATCCATGTTTTCATGATTGTCCTAAATATCTTGAATTTGATTGTTACTTTACATGCGAAAGAACCTTTGAGATGTATTTGGTATAAGAAATAAAAATAGTGTCATTTTTTTTTGGTTTGATTGAACTAGATAATCTAAAGTTAAAAATTTTTATCTCTCCCATATACAAAAAAAAATATAAATAATTGAAAATTTAGAGTCTGTTTATTTTACAATTTTTTATTATTTAACTTTTATAATTTTTTTATAAAAATCATTTTTATTTTATAAAATATTATATTTAATCACTATTCAAATAAAAAATTAGGATAAAATAAAATAAAATTCACTAAGTAAGAATGTCGATACTTCTTTTCTTAAACATTTTTATACGATGCACTTTTGTTTTTTTTTTATCAATTATATTTGTCAATACATCATTCCCTCTATTATTGACCTTCTTATCATTTTAGTTTATCTCGTAACTAATTTTTTTTGCACATGTTGTCATTCGGTGCCGAAAATGCTTGCGTGACACATCGGAAGACACGTGTCTATCAAGAAAATACCACCTGACGGACACGTTGAATATTAATCTTTTAGAAAAAATTTTTTCCTGATAATAACCATTTATCATTTTAGTTTCGTAACATGAACTTGTATAAAAATGGTCTTGTAAGTGATTTTTTTTTTTCACAATTTATCATATGGTGCCGGAGATGTGCACGTGACACCCACATAGCACGTCGGAACACACGTCATGCCAGGTAGGTGCTACCCGGCGGACACATGGAATTTTTTATTATTAAATTACTATTATTTTTTAAAATTTTTGTATAATAATAAAAATTAAAAGAATTTAAGAAAAAAATTCACGTGTTTGTCGAGTATTGCCTAGCGGACATGTGTGTTCCGATGTGCCACACGTCCATCAACACACTCTTATACAAAATATTATTTTTACTTATTTTAAGTGAAGAACGCATGACACTTGCATAGCACGCCTGACTTACCCGTATGATTTTTTTTTTTTTACAAATTTTTTGTTTTTGGCATGTCCAAATAAAAAAATTGGTACTTTTTAAATTTTGGTATTGTTTAAATTTTTAGAAATTAAAAAATAATAATTAAAAATTTCACGTGTCCGTCGAATAGCGCCTATTTGGCAAACACGTGTGCTCGGGCGTATCATGCGGATGTCATGTGCGCATCCATGTGTGGAAGTGGTACTTACATGGCGGATACGTGTTCTCCGACATACCACGCAGGCATCTCCGGATCCGGAGATCAAATGTACCAAAAAAAATTCATTTAAGATATTATTTCAATACAAACTTTAACTACGAAACTAAAAAATGATAAAGATGATCAATTATGGAACTAAAAAAAGTAATTTATCCAAGAATCAATTCTCATTTTATGTTCAATTTATCTTCATTTATACTTGTATTTTCTATACTAAAAGCGTACCATTATAATCAAATACTTTAATTTTGATCTTGTTCGCTGAGAGATTGAAACTAAAGTTGAGATTAATAATAGTAAAAAATTATTAATTATTTATTTGATATAATATATTAATATCAGTACAATGGTTTTAATATAATATAAAATAAAAAGATATATAATTAATTTAATATTTAACAAATAGGAAATAGTAAAATTTCAACTTTGTTCTTTTATCTAAAATTTTTCAATATATTTTTTAAATAAATTAATATACTATGCACAAAACACACTAGACACACTGTGTATGGCATCACAAGTCCATCTCCCACACCACAATCATCCGGCACAAAAATTTAATTTTTTGCAATTTGTATTAAATTTTTAATGTTAAGAAGTATACACCGGAAATGTAATAGAATGAACATCCATCAGAGTTGGGAAAGTAAAAACCTACCACTAAATTAAATTTAAATTCATGGATTCGAATTTATTATCCCCTATTTGCAATAATTAATTATGTCAAGAGCCAAAATAGCACTACTATAATTTAAATTAAAATCAAATTTATTTATTCGATACGATCTTTACATAAAATGCATTATTTTTTTTTTATATAAAAATTATATTAAAATATTATTTAAATAAAAATATATACATTTATACGTTTTTGTTTATATAGATAATTTGAAAGTTTTTGGCATATTTTAGCAACAATAATAAAAAAAATTAATACAAAAATACCATGTTGTGTATATGTGTTTGTTTGGGAAATTTGTGAGAATTTATGTTATTCATCAAATTTTTTCTTTTAAAAAAATATAAAATCAAATATCTAATTTTTATTTTTTATATTATAATAAAAATTAATTTTATATTCAAAAAATCACATCAACACCTATTATTTCAATTTAAAAATTTTATTATTCAAATCTAAAAAAAAGACCAAAAAAATAAACAATTTTATTATTCGCTTTAAAATTTTCAAATTCAGTGCTGTGTAAGTGCAACGAATACGACGTCGTCTATAAATACCCACCAATCAGTAAACATTCACCGAAACAAAACGCAATGGCTGTCAACATCAACATCGCCGTGAAGCAATCGGCGGTAGTGAAGCCATCGGAGCCGACGCCGGCGGCGATTCTCAACCTCTCCAACCTCGACTCCATTTTCCCGCGCATCATGTACGGCCGCGTCCTCCTCTTCTACCGTCACTCCGACGCCTCCGCCACCGCCTTCCTCGACTCCGCCGTCCTCAAGTCCGCCCTCAGCCGCGCCCTCCTCCACTTCTACCCCTTCGCCGGCCGACTCACCGCCGACCAAAATAACTGCATCCAAATCAACTGCAACGGCGACGGCGCTCTGTTCGTGGAGGCGGAGTGCGACGCCACTTTGGAAGAGCTCGGCTTCTTCCCCAGGTCCGACGTCTCGCTCATTCCCGCCGCCGATCATTCCAAACCAATTTCAGAAAAGCCTCTCTTTCTCGTCCAGGTTCGAAATCGGATTCAATGTAGTTTAATTTCAATTATGGTTAATTTGATACTCAGCATTCAATTGTAATGCAGCTTACGCGCTTCCGATGCGGCGGCGCGTGCATAGGGTTCGCGGAGGACCACCACGTCGCCGACGGAACCGCCTGCCTCCGATTCCTCCACACCTGGGCCAATTTCACACGTGGCGACGGCACCGCCTACCCGCCGCCGTTGATTGACCGCCGGGCAGCTTTATCTCCCCGCCGCCCCCCGCAGCCGGCGTTCTCCCACGTGGAGTACCAACCGCCGCCGGCACTGAACAAAACCCAAAACGACGTCGTAACGGATTCCGAGACGATAACACTAATGTACAAACTAACAAAGGAACAAATAACCGCCCTGAAGGCCAAATGCAAGGCCGAAAACGACGTCGTCAAGCTCACGACCTTCGAGGTTGTGGCGGGGCATATATGGCGGAGCATCACCGCCGTCCGCCGCCTGTCGGCCGATCAGAACACGAAGCTGCGCGTCGCCGTGGACGGACGGCGGAGGATGGAGCCTCCGCCGCCGGAGGGGTATTTCGGGAACGTTCTGTTCCACGCCACGCCGATTGCTCCGGCGGGAGAGCTTGTGGAGAAATCCGTCGGATTCGCCGCCGGAAAGTTGCACGATTCGATGGCAGCGATGAAGAGCGAGCGGCTGCAGTCGGCGCTGGACTATTTGGAGATGGAGAAAGATCGGTGGGACGCCATTGGAGAGAATTTGTTTAATTACGATTCGCCGAATATGTCGATTATTAGTTGGGTGTGGCTGCCGCTGTACAATCTGGACTTCGGAATTGGGCCGCCGGTGGTGGTTTCGCCGGGATATGGAAAGGGAATCGGTTTTCCGTCGGGGTCGTGTATCGTCACTCGGTCGCCGGAGGACGACGGCGGACAGGTGGTTTATATAGTCTTGGCCGGGGAAGAAGAAGCTCAACAGTTTGCCAAAGTCCTTTATGATATTTAATTTATTGAGTCCGTTAAATCATCTGTTCAGCATCTGCATTTCTCTATAATCTACCTATTAATTTTATGTTTTTCAAAAATAAAATTTTTTATGTTTTTCAAAAATAAAAATTTATGTTAAAATTTAAATTTTATGTATTTGTTTTTTTATTTCAAATAAAGTTTATCTATCCTTACAAAATAACATACTAAATAATTTAAAAATAATATGAATAAAAATTATATTAAAATATTGTTTAAAAAAAATTGAAAACAAAATTAATTAAATAGTAAAATTATAATTAACAAAAAAACTTAAGTCATGAATTTTATTTATATTCTTCATCTTCCATCTAAAATTGTTTTTAATTTTATTGTATTAGATTATAATTTTATAAAATTATATATATTTTAAAAAATATCATATTACATTTGAAATATTAAAATTTGGATTAAAAGTTATATAAAAATTAAACTTGAATATCTCATAAATATTTTAATTATAAAATTATATCTAAATAGTATATCTGAATGTCATAATTGAAAAAAAATATATCATAAAATAATATAACAAAAAATTTATAATAAAAAGAAATAATATAGTAAAATTTAACTTTGACTATTATTTTTAATTTTCAAAATAAAATAATTTAAACCACTTAAATTCAAGGGTTTGTTTGGTTTGAGAGGAATTAATAAGAGTAGGTAGAATTAAAATTACTTTGTTAAATTCTCTTCTGAGGAGAGGAGAGGGGAAGAAAAGAAAGAAGGGAGAAAAAAAATTAAAATTCTTATATACTCTCCCGTCCCAGATACCATGTCCACATTGTCGTTTTTATTCGTTCCACGTACTATGTCATTTTTTTTTTGAAAAATAATTACACACTTTAATCTCATTTTAAATTTTTTAATTTTGTTTTTTTAATTTTAATTAAACTAATTAGTTATTTTAATCTTAATTTATAATTATTTATATTATATGATAATTATTTTCACTAATATATTTTTAATTATCTACTAATTACATCATTCCTAAAATAATATAATTACAGTGTAGTAGACACGATATGTGAGACAGAGAGAGTAATAAATATAATATGATATATAAATATAGTTTGTAAGTATTAATAGGCATATTTATGTATGTAAATGTGGATATGCTTTAATATATAAATATTACATATATAGGTGAATGTATGAAGTAATGTATGCATGTGTACGTGCAATAAATGCAAAGTGAGGGGAATTGACAGAAATGTTGAATGAATTTTTCTCTACTCTTATTATTCGCAACCAATGATATATATACATCAAACCATCCTACAAATAGCAGAGACAATTTAGCTAACAATAAAAATCGCGTTCATAAACAAAACGTCCACGTAGCATCCATATATAAGTAGCTCGTACGTATATAACAAAATTACATTGTTAGATTCTATTTCTTAGAGAAGAGAATGGTGGAAAATAAAATGAAGGTTATTTTGTTTTCCTTTCAAATTGGGAGAATTTGAATACTTCATAATTTATTTAAGAAATAATGATATTATATTAATAATGGTTAAAAAGTATGAATAAAATATTTTTTTGTTTAGTGTAAAAAGAAAATGCTGATATTTGTGTAATAATAATAATAATAATAATAATAATAATAATGTAGAAGTAGTTTTACCGTGATGCTCATGTTTATGTAAATGAAACTATTATTTTGGGACGGATAAAAATATTAAATAAGAATATTGTATTAAAACAGAGAGAGTATATACTTTTTAAATTTATAAAATTACTATTATATTGTTAATATTATATATTATATCCATATTCAATTATATATGAATTATATATAATTAAAATTATAAATTAATTATTTTATATAAATCAAATTAAATTATTTTTAATCTAATTATTTAATTAAACTTGTAGTAGTCCAATTTTAATTTATAAAACAAATATATATTTATTCTGTTTATTCTATTTATCTAACACAACAATCGATATTTATTTTATAATTTATTCTTAATGAATAATTTTTTCAACACAACATACGAATATTCATTTTATAATTTATTCTTAATAAATAATTTTTCTGTTAGAATAATTATTTTGTTATCTAATAATTCTATTTTATTATATGTAATGTTATTTTTATTTATGTTATATTTTATTTATATATACTTATTTTAAAACCAACTAAGTAGGGCAATTTATTTTCCTTCACCTCAATCATTTATAAAAATAAAAACAAATATTATATTTCTTAATCTTCCTTCCTTCTCATCCTTTTTATTCTCTAGTTTGAACTACACAGATTTTAAATTCGATAATATCTTTACTCTTTGTTGAGAGAAATTCATTCTCCTATAGAGGAGCTCAATCAATGAGAAGTCCAATATCAAATTCTTGATCATTCTAAATAACATTTGTGCAGAGATAGTACATTATTCTTGTGGACCACTTCTTTATTATGTTATATCTTATCCTAAACCGATAATCTTCATGTAATCAAGAAATACATATCTTGTTCTCATCTTTAATAAATATGAAAGACAATAATAGTTCTCCTATTTCGTTCAGTTCTTTAATCATCTTCTATTTTATTATATCATAAAAATGAAAGATAAAAATAGTTCTCCTATTTTATTATATGGATCTACAATGTCCTCATTCTCTCCTTAAAATGAATCCTTTAATTGAGCAACAACGGCTGAAGTTGCTAGTCGTCTCGCAGTTAAAGCAACAACTTCTTTTGAAGTTGAAACAGTCTCCAAACAACAAGCTTATTTGCCCAAAGCTTTGTTGGTAACAAGTGAAGATCAATCAAATCTTTTTCTATCCTCAGTCCCTCTCAATGAGAATAATTACTTCACTTGATCCTATAGAGTGTGGAATGCACTCATAGCCAAAAGAAAAAGTGGATTCCTCACCGGAAAGCAATCCAAATCAGGGGAGGACAACCCATAGTATGAAGCATGGCTAGAAGTGGATGCATTAATCAAAACTTGGATGATCAACTCTATGATTCCAGAACTTCAAGGAGCTTTCATCTTTGACTTCACCGCCAAAGAACGTTGGGAGAACTTTAAAGAAAAGTATGAGCAATCAAATGGTTCACTTGTCTATAATCTAGAACGGTCACCCACCTCCTTAAAGCAAGGTGATGATTCTATTGCTGCTTATGCTACCAAGCTTAAAAAACTTTGGCAAGAATTATTAACCATTGATCCACCTCTTGAATGTTCATGTGGAGCTCACTCAAAACTTTTGAAAAAGATGGACAAAAATTTGTTGATTAATTTCCTGAGTGGATTGAATGATACCTACGAGAGTGCAAGAGGACAAATTCTATTGATGGATCCCATTCTCAACATGAGCAAAGCCTACATAATGATCATTTAATTTCAAAAACAAAGGGAGCTTCATATTGCAACATAACACAATGCCTTTTCAATAGCCAGTAAGCCTTATCAATGAAAACATAACAGTGAGAGGAAAAAACTGTTGCATGTTGAAAAGAAAAACATAGTGTGTGAATTTTGCAAGAAAAAAGGTCATACAAAAGATACATATTTCTCTCTGGATGGTGTACCAGCTTGGTCTATCACTATCTGCTAACCTTGTTCTAACTTATGCGTTTTTGCTTCCATTATTTCAATTCAATCTTATTTCAGTTAGTACTTTGCTTAGATATATCAATTATATCCTCACATTCACTTCTAACAAATGTTTAATACAAGACCAGAGCTCTAAAGTCAATTTGGCTACTGGAAACCGAAAAAACAACCTACACCATAGCTGTCTCAACCTATTATGTTAATCTGCTTGCTTCAGCTGTTGTTTTTTATTATCCTCTGTTGCATTAGCGCCTAGGTCACTCATCTGCTGAATGTTTGAAACATCTTGGATTTGTTCATTTTCCTAAAAATTCATTTTGTGATACATATCACAAATCTAAAAAATATAGATTGTCCATTAATAAGAGTAACTCATGTGCATCCTTTGTGGTTGAACTGGTCCATATGGATACATGGGCCTATATAAGTCTCCCACTTTAAATAGATGTCGCTATTTCCTAAGAATTGTTGATGATTATTTTCGAGGCACCTGGACCTATTTGTTGCCCAACAAACAAAACATCTACCATATAATACAAAGTTTCCTTACACTGGTCCAAAATCAGTTCAATTCCTCTGTAAAGAAGGTAAGAACCGATAATGGAACATATTTTCTTAACCAAAATTGCAGAGCCCTATTTGATAAATATGGCATAATCCATGAGCACTTATGTCCATATTCTCCCAAACAAAATGGAGGAGTAGAGATCAAGCACAAACACTTGTTGCAAGTGACTCGATCTCTACTCCTTCATGTTGTATTGCCTATTGGGGAGATGCTCTCCTCCATGCCACATACTTGCTTAACAGAACCCCTATTTTAGTTTTTGATTGGGTCACTCCCTCCCAAAAACTCTATCAAACCCAACCAACCTATGATCACCTTAAGGTGTTTGGATGTCTCTGTTATGCAACCAACACCGCACCTGATAAAATCAAATTTGACACTAAAGCCCAAAAATGCATCTTTCTTGGTTATCCAGCCAGCCAAAAAGGCTTTAAGTTGTTTGATATTGAAAATCGGAAAAGAATTGTTGCCCATGATGTAATCTTTTATGAGCATGAATTTTCCTTATTATGTTGTTAATTCTCAATCACCCCTGCCCAATATTCCTATATATCCTAGTCTTATGATCCTATCCCCATCATCATTAATCCTATATTAACTTCACACACCACTCATTCCAACACAACAAACACCACTCCTTAAAGTAATCCCATCACTCCACAAGAAGAATAATTTCATAGTCATCACTATGGTGACATTGTCTTTGAATTCAATTAGCCTTCTTCCTATTCTTCTACCTTTCCCAACACTTTGACAAGAACTACCTCATAAACAAAGAAAACTACTTGCTTGGCTTAATGATTACATATGTCATGCAATTAGTTCCACAGCAAAAAACAGGCCAGCAAATGCATGTGTGGCATGTTGCATTATCTGATCATGATCAGGAACCAACTTCTTATGCTCAAGCTCAATATGTAAAAGAATGAAAGATGCTATGAAAGAAGAGTTGGATTCCTTGAAAAAAAATGGAAAATAGGAAATCGTTGTCTTGCCAAATGAAACTCGTCCAATATCATGCAAATGGATGTATTGAATTAAAAGGAATGGTGATGGAAGCATTCAGAGGTATAAAGCTCGTCTTGTGGCCAAAGGCTACCTTCAAATTTCTGGACAAGACTTCCCTGATTCATTTGCTCCGTTTCCTAAAGTTGTCACAGTTCGAATCTTAATAGCTATTGCAGCCCCAAGACAGTGGGAGATGCATCAATTGGACATAAATAATGCTTTCTTGCATGGCTATTTGAATAAGGAGATATACATGGTTCCACCCAAGGCTGTAATGTTCTCCCGGCCATGTTTGCAAGTTGAAAAAGTCGCTCTATGGGCTGAAACAGATCCCCATACAATGGTATAAACAATTTACCACCAAGGTGTTGGAATATGGATTCAAGCGGTTCACTAATGACAATTGTTTGTTTATCCTTAATAAGGACATTGACATTACTCTGCTATTGGTATACGTTGATGATATTCTTATCACATAAACTAATGCCCAAACCATATAGAAGTTAGAAGTATCTGGATCAAACATTCACCATAAAAAATCTGAACCAAGTTGACTTATTTCTTGGAATTCAGATTGAAAGATCTGTTGTTGGTTTGGTTGTCTCCCAATAATTCAATATATTGTTTTGGAGACTGGAATGCAAGATGTTAAGCCTTGTGACATTTCATTTGTTACAAGCTGGAAACTTCAACAAGACAAAGTACAAGTCCTTTCAACTCATGGAAACTACATACGTATTATGGTGGAAGACTTTTATATTTTACCATGACAAGGCCAGACCTTTGCTACTCTGTACAACAGTTCAGCCAATTCATGGCCAATCTAACTACTGAACATTGAAAGGTTGTACAACAAATCCTAAAGATATTTGAAAGAAACTATGAATTTACATCTTTTATTTCGAGTCGATAAAGAGCTCAATTTCAACGCATTTTCAGATGTTGTATGGGGTCATGCTTGGACTTTCGAAAATCTCTTTCCGGTTATTGCTTGTTTCTTGGATCATGTTTTATATCATGGAAAACCAAGAAACAAACAACTGTGGATTTCTGCTGAAGCAGAGTACAGGGCATTGCATGCTATAGTTTATGTGGCATTGTCGATGACATACTTGATGCATGAGCTGTAAATTTCCGTCACCCTTCCTGTGCCAATTTGTTGTGAAAATCAATTCACAATTCGAATGGTGGAAAATCCAGTCCACCATGAAATAACCAAACACATAGATGTGGGTTGTCATTTTATTCGTCATCATTTTGCGGAAGGTGTTATCATCCTTTAGTTTGTTCCATCTGAAAGACAATTGGCTGATGCGTTTACGAAGGAATTTCTGGCCTCCCAACTTCGTTGCATGTGTTGCAAGTTGAACTGGAAATATACTACCCAAATTCCTCTGGGAAACATGTTGAAAAATTTACTCTTTCTATAGAGGAGCTCAATCAACGAAAAGTTCAATCCCTTTTTTTTTTTTAATAACAGAATTTGTTATTAGAGTTCATTTGTGCATAAATAACACTTTATTCTCGTGGGATTACTTTCCTATTTTGTTATATCTGATACTAAACGGATAATCTTCATGTAATCAAAACTACATATTTTGTTCTCATCTTTAATGACAATGAAAGACAAAAATAGTTCTCCTATTTTGTTCTGTTCTATAATCATTTTCTTCTTGATTATATCACTCTTCCTGTGGCATCAATTCATTTGTTGTAACTGAGATAACATAGATGAGAATAGAGGATTAGATGTCTGTGTATACTCTTATTGCAATTAATAATAATAATAATGAAGCATGCATTTAGTAAATTTTATTACAAACTCATAAGCTTACAACAGCAAACAAGGTTCCTGAAGAATGCAAAACAAAACGCTAAAATGAAAACGCAATCATCATCATCATCGTCCTCAACTTCTACCCACAGAACAATAAACTCAATAAAAATGGCAATAACGAATCAAAAAAGAATAGTGTAAAAATACGTGCCCGGCAACCCTCCGGCGCGATCAAGTTTTGCATCTATGCGACGGCAGGCATGTCCTTAAGCCAAGCATCCAGCGGCTTGCCAATTGAGTACACAATGAAACCCATCTCCCTAAGCTTCTTCACATCCACAACATTCCGACCGTCGAAAACGAATGCCGGTTTCTGCATATTGTCGTAAATCTTCTTGAAGTCGAGCTTCCGGAACTCGTCCCATTCAGTTAAAATGCAGACAGCGTGCGCGCCTTTGGTCGCTTCGTACGCGTCCCAGACACACTGAACTTTCTTAACCGAAGTGGGACTTATCGGCTGGAGGTGGAGCGGGTGGTCCCAATCGAATTTCTTCATCGACAGGTCCCGCTGGATTTGATCCTCAGTGACCTGAGGATCGTAGATGCTCAGCTGGGCCTTATCGCCGAGCAATCCTTGGCAGACGTCGATGGCGGGAGTTTCTCTAGTGTCGCCGGTGTCCTTCTTGAAGGCGAACCCGAGGATTGCGACTTTCTTGTTGGCGACGGTGTTGAACATGGAGGCGACGACGCGGTTGACGAATCGGCTCTTTTGGTAGTCGTTGATCTTGATGACCTGTTTCCAGTATTCAGCGACTTCGGGTAAGCCGTTGCACTCGCAGATGTAGACTAGATTGAGGATGTCCTTCTGGAAGCACGACCCCCCGAAGCCGACGCTGGCGTTGAGGAACTTGGGGCCGATTCTGGTGTCTTTGCCGACAGCGTAGGCGACTTGGGAGACGTCTGCGCCGGTGGCCTCGCAGAGAGCGGACATGGCGTTGACGGATGAGATTCGTTGGGCAAGGAATGCGTTTGCGGCGAGCTTCGAGAGCTCGGCAGACCATAAATTGGTGGTGAGGATTCGATCCTCCGGAACCCAGTTGGCGTAGACCTCCTTCAGTGCTTGAACAGCCTTATGGCCGCCCGGGGTTTCCCGGCCTCCGATGAGGACTCTATCGGGGGTGAAAAGATCGTCGATGGCTGTCCCCTCAGCGAGGAATTCCGGATTGGAGAGGATTTGGTAGTTGATTCCCTTGCTGTTGTGGGTCAGGATCTTTTCGATGGCCTCGGCTGTTTTCACGGGGACGGTGGATTTTTCGACAACAATCTTGTCGGATTTAGAGACATCGGCGATCATGCGGGCAGCGCTCTCCCAGTAGGTTAAATCTGCGGCTTTGCCAGCTCCGAGACCTCGGGTCTTGGTTGGGGTGTTGACGGAGACGAAGACAATGTCGGCTTCAGAGACATGTTTCTCCACGTCTGTGCTGAAGAATAAGTTCTTGCCGCGACATTTCTTCACGACATCATCAAGGCCTGGCTCGTAGATGGGAAGCTGATCACTGTTCCAGGCACTGATACGAGGAACAGAGATGTCGACAACTGCGACTTCAATTTTGGGACATTTGAGTGCTATCACAGCCATGGTAGGGCCTCCTACGTACCCTGCTCCGATGCAGCAAATCTTAACCATTTTTCCCCTTTTCCAGTGGCCTGAAAAGTTCATACACAAATTGCTCAGATTCTGTTTGAATAATGATGCCTACATATATATATATTGTTATGCTAACACAAAGGAAACATTAGTTATACAACTGACCTCTTGATCAGACTAATTGAACATTGAGGAGCAAAATGTGAACTAGAAGAAATTTTGACAGCAATTTCATTGCATGATTTACAATGCCAAGGATCTTAAGGAATAATTCTAACAGAACTTAAAGGATAGCATCACCAGCACCATGGAAGAAGTATGTTTCTTATCATGGATTACTTCGGAAATCGGAATTTTATCCCCGTAGGAGATAAGATCCTATTGAGAAATGAAACCAATCTAGGGAAAGGTTAACCAGTTTTCACTTTCCAGTCAACATCAATTATGCAGTCACAAATCAGCAGTGAGAACAGGAACATATTTCGAGGATCATCAAACCAACGTAATCGCAGTATTTCAGAGTTGAGAACGAACAATACTAAGCAATTCTTCAAGTCATTAAACATAATCGTATCAGATCTACATCATATTCCACAAAACTCATGCAGATCCAGCATTACTCATGCAATTACCAAACAACATCATAAATTAAGAATCAAGCGAGAAACAAAATCATTCACAAAGTCAAGTCTGTCACCAGATCAAGCAAACTGCCGACAGACAACAAACCAGAAACAATCACCACAATCCCGATCTCACTCATTCACCACCACAAAAAATGAAACCCAAACACTTCAATCACACACAATTTCAACCGCCACAATTTCAATCCGGATCTGCCGAGACGAGTGCCGACACGCATCCGCACCAACAAACACATGATATGCAAAAACTGTACAAACAAATCGACAAAAATCAACAACATTACCTCCGAATCACAGTAGCTAATCCTGCAGCGCAGACAGAATAAGAATAATCGCGCGAGGAATGAAATTGGCGTCCGAGAAGAGAACGTGAGAGAGCTCAGAAGGCTGGCAGCTTCGTTATATAATCGTTGGCGACGCGAGATCTCGCACCGCGGTCTTCGGAGATGAAAGGACCATAATACCCCTATTTTACCGGGTCTTTGTCAAGAAGACAATTTTACCCCTCGCATCCTTCTTCAACTCTCTTTCTTTAGTTTTAAATAGCATTCTTACATTTGGGATTAAAATGCTACTTTATGTAAAAATATTTAAATAAAAAAAATAATGTCGTATTTAATAATATAGACCTTGCCAATTGTATTTAAAAAATAAATTAAATAGATTATTGTCCCAGTTATGGCCTATTACAATAACCATTGATTGCTATTCATTCTTATTAATTGAATTCGTACAATAAATAAATAATGAAATGAAAGATGTGGAAATGAAGCAAAGTTGAAGTGCGTCAATTAAGCAATTAATTAGAAATGGGAGGACCTGTGACAGAGATAATTAATTTGCATGTGGGGCCCAACAAAATGTCAAATGTCATATTTAAGCCGTTTGTTATAAGCACGAGAGAAGTACGCTTCACTCTTGTTTGCCATTTGTTATATGTTTTTTTTTTTTTTGGGAAATTTTATTTTATTTTCTAGTTTTAATAGTAGTTTAAATATAAATATTAGTAAATATTATTTTAATTTAAATATAATATTATGTTTATGTATATAATTTGTTATTTAGTTAACTTTCATTTACTTCGAAAGTACTATTTTTTATTTTGTTTTTATTTATTAGGTATTGAAAATTATAAAAATAGTACATACTTTTTTATTTTAATTTTTTTTTTAAAAAATAATAATTAATTTTTTAAAAATATTGTAAAAAAATAAAAGAATCTTAGTATTTTATACTTTTCCATCCAATTGATATGAATTGAATACAAATTTTTAATGAATACAATATCATAGTATTTTTTAATATAAAATAAAAATATTTTACAAAGAATATGAATAAGTTAAATGATATGAGATTTTTTTTTCAATAAATTAAATATATAAATAATTATGGTATAGTTATATATATAAGTGCAATGTTGAAAAATATAAAGTAAACAATATATAATACTCTCTTTGGGGTGTTTTATAATTATGTTATATTTTATTTTATTTTATTTTGTACGTTAACTTTGTACACATTTTTTTATTTATAGTAAATAAATTTTTTTGTCCATAATTTTATTATTCTCATTCTAAAATATAATTATAAATCTATCACTAATTTTTTCTATTTACCACATTATTTTTTATAAAATCTTTAATAAATTCTTACAATATCTCTATTTTATTTTTTCCTATTCCATTTTTATATTAAAAATATTACTACTATTTTTAGTCTATGTAGCTAAGTAAAGTGACAATTAATTCTGACTTCTTACTCAAAATCAAAATTGTAAATTTATTTATGGACAAATAAAAAGGAAGAAAATATATAGAATTATTAAATAGAGTTACTAAAAATATTCAAATTAAAAAAAAAATTAAAAAAAAATGTATTATTCTTTGAATTATATATATATATATGACCGCGGCTACAGTGCTGAATTTAAAATTAAGAATTATGTTGAACAACACATGGTGTGTTATTTGAAAGTACAAAATATTACTATATACAGCACACTGCATATGTTAATATAATATAAATACATCACATGAACAAAGAACATAGGCTATAGTCTCTACAACACATCGTGTGTTGTCAGACAACACACAATATTATTACAGATATTGTATATGTTAATATAATACAAATATGTTACATGAACTAACAATACATATTATAATTCTACAGCACACACAACAGTTAATTTTAGCATATGACATATTATTATACAATATACTTGTTATAATTAAAAAACTGCACATACTTTTATTATACACTGTTGTATATAATAATAATGTGTGTTGTTTATATATATATATATATGTATATATATGGTATTATATTGTTTTTGCACAAAACATATAGTTAATTGTCTAAAAATTAAAGTATTGTAGAATTTTATTTTTTTTTTGTTTCAATAATAAATTAGATATGATATTTTGTAAGATTTTAGTGCAATTTTTTTTTAAATTGCAAAAAAATAAAACTTAAATAATAAATAAAATGTGATATTTTGAAAAATTAAAATAATATAATTTTTAAAAAATATAAAATTAAATATTAAAAATGATTAAAAAATAAAAATATATATTCTCCATCAAGTTATATGCATTTTTCTTTATACGACTAGTGTGGCAAAAATAAGCACGACCTGAAAGCCCGGTCCGAGCACGAAAACATTGTGCTTGGACCTTCAAAAGTAGACCAAAAAATTTTCGAGCCATGTCTAGCTCGACATGCTAATAAATCGGATTGTACCAGACTAAACTCGATTTCTTAAAATTAATGTTCGGTATTTAATATTTTTATACGTTGAGCACAAAATTTAAATTTAGGGTTTTGGCCCAAGAAAGGAAAATGGTGTGGGCCAGGTCGAGTCTTTGGGAGTGAATTTATGTGACACCCCGGTTCGCAAGCCACACAAAGTCGGGCGTGTCGAGATGTCGTAGATTGGCCCTCCTGTCATCAGACACACGCACTCTAGAAGACTTTTCGGGGGGTCACTCATCATCAGATTACTCTAGGGTAAACACGTTTAACTCTAGAGTTCTTTCAATAGGGCTTCTGAAAAAGAATGTTCACATTGTTACATTTAACCTTTAATTTGCTTTGGGTTGCCTAATACCAGCTCATCCACACACGGGAGTTGGCTAAGCAATGGCCAAACACCGGGGGTATTACAATTTCAGTCGGGCTGACGGGCAGAAACCAATAGACCATCAGATTTGATTGGTCGGTTCCTCATATAAGAGGCCCATCCGAATGTGAATATTGAGTCGGTTGGTTTTCAAGGAACTGTTTGGAACTGCTAAATTGCTCGTATGTGGTTACAATTGATCACGTGACGACGGAAAGTTGGTCAAGGGTAATCGACGACGGTTTAGTGCACGATCTTGGTGACCGACTCAGAAATGATTTCAAACGGTTCAAATAAGATTTTATTTAAATGAACAGATGGAGAATGGGCAAGACATCTTGAATCATCTCACGGAAGTCTTATTTGGGGATCATTCTTCAATCATCTCAAGGAAGTCTTATTGGGGGATCATTCTTTTAAATTCTCAATTTTAGTGCAGTTTTTAGTTCTTTATGTATTTGTTTTAGGAATATGTGATCTTTGACATCTTCTTCTTCTTTTTTTTTTTTTTTTTTTTTTTTTTTTTTTTCAAGTTTGGAATATATTTTTGAATATTACTTTATATTGTTGAAAATCTACATCAACATTATATACTCCATTCGTCCGGCTCTAAGGGTCTCATTTACCTTTTGCGTCATTGTACTTAGCATTAAAAAATATTCTTATTTTTTTATAATTCTTTGCACAAACGTCATTATAACGGTATTATAAGATACTAAGACACTAATAAAAGTATTTTTGTCATTTTCCTTTGATTTGGACTATATTTTCATATAATAATTAATATTCAAATATTAACACACAAAAAGTAAATAACATCCTTAGAACCGGACAGAGGTAGTATATATTAACTAATAATATAGTAACAAACAAGTGATTTATTTCTCTAACTCTCAATTTTCACGTTCAACTAAACAAGAAAAATAAGGTCATCTTTATTTCTTTGACCTAATTTCTTTGTACTAAACACAGCCTTAAACAAATTCATAAAATTAAATAGAACAAAATAAATAAATAAATAAATACTTCATCCATTCGAATCATATGTAATCATTTTGTCATTTTCGTATATCCAACTCAAATGTATCTACAAACAATATTATTAAAAAATAAACGAGTTGTCCCGTAAGGGATGACATTGTGGTTTGAAGAGTAAACTTGTGACTATGAGGTCATGGTTCAAACCCTGACGCTTCCGGATGTACCTGTCACACATGGTTCGCCCAGTGTAACTTGACTTGTGGGCCTAGTTTGAGGGTATTATTTTTATTTTTATTTTTTAATAAACTATTCATTTTTTAAATTTTGATCCGTCATATAACAACGTATTTTTGTCTTATTTAATAATTTTATTATTTACTTAACATTAAAAATATCATTATATTTCACTAATATTGTTACTTTATATCATATAGTACTAATAAAATTATTTATTTTCTTTTAATTTGTACTCCCCCCGTCCCGGATATTTTGTCGAATTTACTGTAGACACGAGAATTTAGGAGGAGTATAATTAGTAAATAATTAAACATGTATTAGTGACAATAAGTATCTTATAATAAAAATAAGGGCAACTTCCAATAAAATCTCTATTTCTTATTACAAATTCTTACTTACTTTCTAAATATAAATATCTTATTCTTTACTCCCTATTTTTATAATTTTCATCTTTTTCACTCCCAACCTATTTAAAAAGACCATAATACCCTTATTTATTTTATTCATTTTTTTCATCATTCTCTCCAATTTCATAAAATTGATTTTTAATTTTATTTTACATTTTTTATGGTAAAAAAAATAAAAACAATTAATAAAAAATCAATCATTATAAACGAAAAAAATATCACCGGCGACGGAACAACAACTAAAACGACTACAATATCTTATAATGAAAATTTCTATAAACCTAGGCTATGTAATCTCTAAATTATACAAACATATTTATTTATAAATTTTATGGTGTTAGATTTTTTTAACTTAATTGTTAATTATTATTTTATTTTTGGGCTTATGCAGTAAATAACTAAATTTTATAAAAATGTAACTATTGTCTATTTAATTTATTGAATGTGATGTATTTTATTTGGTAATGGTATTTGCGATAGTTAATTTATAATGTTTTAATTCAGAAAGTACAAATTTTTTTAAAACAAAAATATATTTTTTTCATATAGAAAATAAATAAGCTTCATTTCAATTCAATGAAATTCACTGTTGCGGTAGCATTTTTTTTAAACATAACCTTTATAATTTTTTAAAATAACAGCAATACTTAAATTACAATACAAAATATTTATAAAAAATATTGGTCTCGACCAACTAAAATTCATGTAAAACGGAAAATATTTATTTCAAACACTATATAAAAGTATCGATTGCTCAACAATAAAGTATTAAAATAAATTTAAAAAGTACAAAACTTTGTTTTAAAAAGTATTTTTTTAAATATGAAAAGTAATTATGACACCGTAAACCCATTCTTTAAACTCGATGCAATTCACCATTGCGATGATATATTTTTTTTGACACAACCCATATAATTTTATTTTTGTTTATTGTCGATGTTGCTTACAAACTTTCATTAATCAATTGAGGTGTATTGAACAATAGTAGAAAATAAGAATTAAGTAAACACTAGTATCTTTGAAGTAAAAAATGTGTGGCGTTTAATCTTGAAAGCATCGTCCGACAATAACTCACTTGATTTGATACAATAATGAGTAAAATTCTTAAAATAAATAATGCAATACTTAAATTGCATTACAAAACATCTATAAACAATATTGGTTTCGACTAACTTAAATTCATGTAAGGCGAAAATATTTATTTCAAACACCTTACAAAAGTATTGGTTGCTCAACAATAAAGTATAAAGAATAAATTCAAAAAGTACAAATTTTGTATTAAAAAGTATGTTTTTCTCATGTTAAGTACAAATGAAACAATAACCTTCTTTCGACTCTATGCAATTCATCGTTGTGATGATATATATTTCCTATATAATATTTGTAAGTTTATTTGCGTTTATTCTCAATATAAAATTACAAATATTAATTTATCCATAGGGTCTTATGGCACAACAGTTGTGGTGATCATTTTGAAATACTCGTTCGATAATAAATTATTTGATTTGATACAATGCTGATAAAAATTCTTAAAAAATAAATGCAATACTTGAATTATAATGTAAAATATTTATAAAAACTATTTGTTTCGACTGACTAAAGTTTGTATAAGACAAAAATAGGTATCTCAAATACTCTGTAAAAGTAACTGTTCTACAATAAAGTATTAAAAATAAATTCGAAAAGTATGAACAACATCATAACCTTATTTCAATTTTATATATTCTTTCGACATAACTCTTGTAAATTTATATACGTTTTTATAAAAAATGCAAACATAACTAATACTCTCAAAACTAAAATTAACCTTTTACCTAGATGACAAATATAAATCAACATATTCACTTGGGTGTTGGTTCGATCTCGATGTGTGATGTTTGTGGGCAACCGTGGTCATAGTGGTTTGAGTTGGTGTTGGTGCTTGCATTGGTAGTTGAGGTAAATTTGTTATTTGATGTAATTTGAAACTGATGATAAATCAGTTAGGAGAAAAGTTTTCAATCCTTACCCTTGTAATTTTCGATTTTCATTGGTGAAAATTAAAAAAACAGTTTTTATTATCTATCATTTGATATATAAAAAAATTAAATTCGAGCGGAAGAATTATTTGAACAAATAAAGTAATTTTTGGGGTTCATGTTAGAGTATGGTAATCTAGTAAATAAAAAGATATATAAAGAGTATAATAGAAATTTTAAAGTTAAATTTACAAAATAAGGAGTAAATAGGAATGAGCAGGGAGTTACTAGGAATAAAATAGTATATAGGGACTGAACAAGAAAGTATATTGTGATGTAGGGATTATGGAAGAATTAACCCTAAAAATAATTACAAATTAACATTAAGATAGCTGATTAATATAATTAAAATTAAAAAAAAACTATAAATTAATTTTTTAAAATAAAATTAAAGTGTATAATTATTTTTCAAAAAAGGAAAGTGACAACATAAGTGGGACGGACGAAAATAGAAAGGTGGACATTAGAAATGGGACGGAGGGAACATTGTATACTTCTCTTTTGAAAGAGATCTTTTGGAGTTTTATAATAAATTAAAAAATAATAGTATCTTTTGAAAGAGATCTTTTGGAGTTTTATAATAAATTAAAAAATAATAGTATTTTATTGGTTAGTGAAAGTGTGTAAGAAATTTAGACAATTTTGTCATTTGACTTTAATGGTATGTTTGTAATTTAAATAAAATTTAAGGGTATTTTAGTATTAGTATACGATTAATTGTACTAAAAAAATGAAAGAAGTACTTTTTGAGTGGGACGAACAAAAATTAATGAAAATTGTACTTTGAATTAGGATGGAGGGAGCATTAACATTATACTAATATTAAAAAATCTACGCATAAAAACAACCGGAGATATATTTATTTAAGAGACGAAATAGGAATGACAATGGGTAGAGATAGATCCGAGACCCGACCTAAACCCTACACATTTATTTCGGGTCGAGTCCAATTATTTGAGTACTGTCTAGAGGATGAGTCAAATCTTTAATAAATTTTAGAGGGTCGGGTCGGTTCAGGTCCATGGTTTAATAGCAAACCCTACCCAACACGGTATTGGATCCTATTAATTAAAATAATATTTTCTCCGTCATATTTCAAAGTATTTTTTTTACTATTTTCGTCCGTCTTCCTTCAAAGTATTTTGAAATGGACCGGAGGGAGTAAATTTTACATATTTTTTTTTTTATTTTTAATTTCTATTTTCAGTTTTATTTTTAGTGTTGATGGTGGTGGTATGGCTGGCAAACGGATCAGGTCGGGTCGGGTTCAGATTCGGGTCAGCTTAAACGGGTTACAAAACCTTTGACCTGAACCTGACCCATTTAATTAAATTGTTTGATATTTGCAATCTTAACCTGACCTTTTATTAATCGGGTCAACTTGAATATGATTCATATAACCCGTTTAAATCTAAAATTTTTAAATTTTAATTTAAAATTACAAATTATACTAACAAAAAATTTTAATGCATAATATATATACATATTAAAGCAAAAAATTATTTATTCATATCATAAAATCGATATTCAAGAATTGAATTAACAAACACTACATTGTACATACCACAATCCTTTATTTTTTATTATTTATATTTATAAAATTGGCCATAAATATTGAATTGTATTGGCCATAAATATTGAATTGTATTGATAAAATTTAAAATAATATTAATTAAACAGGTTAGACGGGTTATTTTCAGGTCGAAAATGTAGACCTTAACCTGACCCATTTAATTAAATAGGTTAAACGGATTTGACCCAATTATTAATTGGGTCGAAAATCTCAACCCAAACCCAACTATTTAGGTCAGATTCGAGTCGGATTATCAGGTCGGATTAATTTTTGCCAGCCCTGGGTGGTGGTGGTGCGGCGTCAAGGCGATAATGAAAATTTATATTTATTGTATATATATTTTTTAATTTATTTTTTTAATAAGTAAATATATTTTTAGATAAGTCGGTCGAATTAAACTATTATTGAAATTTTTTGAATTTGACGATCCGGTACATCATGGATAGAATTTGAGTATATACGAATCCGAATACATTAGAGTCTGTATAGAGTTCTGTATCAAATAATAGCCACCGAATAAACATTTTGGACCAATATTGAAATTGGAAAGAAATTTGGAAGAATATCAAATGACAAGGGTTCATTCAATGCTTACAAGTACCAACTATTGAGATATTTCTGTTATGCACAGATTACACTGATTTCTCCACCGACACTATATCAAAATCAAAATTTTTTATTTTCTTTAAAGTAACTATATACCAAAATATTTACTATTTACCTATTATATCATACTACATATCTATAAAATATTAAATAATAAATTTACAACCGGATGAAAGAAATATAATTTATTTATATTATATAACTCTCTCAATTCCAGTTAATTTGTACACTTTGTTTAAAGTTCAGAGTTTTAAATATTATATAATTATGATACAATAAAAATAATCAAAAGTTTAAATAATTTAATTAAAATAAAAATTTATAAATTATGAATTTTAAAATATAAATAACATTATATATTTTTTTTTTAAACAAAATAAATTATACAAATTATATTTCGTCCCATTAAAATATGCTTTTCACACGTAAATTTTTGACATTTGTACAATTACTAAATTAGAAAATAATAACCTTAACGACAGAAATGAAAAATGATAACCTTTCAATAGAACGGACGGAGTATAATATACTATAAGTTGAGATGAGACTGATTTCTCCATCAAGACTATCATATTCCGTTAATTTAATTTATATACTCTGTTCGTCCATCATCAATCTACCAATTTTGTCATTTTTAATAAGTCCATCACAAATGTATCTACTTCCTTTCTTTGTAAGTCTTGTACTTCCATTCAAATATAAAAATAATCTCACCCTTCATATTACACAAATACCATCAAATAATAGCACAAATATCAAGGGTATAACAATATTTATACATGTCAATTATACTATATTTCAATATAATACTAATATACTAAAATCTACGTACAAAAAACAAACACAAACGGATACATTCATGATGGACGAAGGAAGTAATTTATTTGTACCATAAAACTGAACCAACGTCAACAATAAGTCATATACTACTTTTTCTTATAGAACTCCTAATCAAAATATTATTTAAATAAAAATTCAATTTCAAATCACAACCAAAAAAATTCATAATTTTGATCGAGAATAACCAGAATAAAGTCTTGAAGTGACCCAAGAAAAAGTATAGACCAAAGCTGTGACTAGAAGATGACTCGAGAAAAACCGAGTGAAATTCATCGAGCACTCTCTTCTTAACGCAAAATTCATTACTAGTAACAGAATGAATAACAATAAAAATGCTACCAAAATATAAATAACATAACTCAATCATGCAGATTGCAAATCTTGCTCAGATAGATTTCAACAGGCAAAATCATAATTCGAAAAACATTGAAGGGAAATGCATTTTCAACCAAAACCTTGTTTGAAGATTCTCCGCACTGAGTTCATGGTGTGGCTACTGCGATTCTTCCAGCAACTTGATCAAGATCGCGCTGGCCACTGGACGTGATCCTTCTTCCACTGTAAAACAGTATTCGTAAGGTAATAAGTTTTCTAATTTCAAGTTCTGTGGATATGCATGGTTATAAAAACTCACCCCCGTGGATCGAGTTCCACAATGGACATATTCTGGAGCTGCTGGAGGATGTGACGAGCAATGGCACCGCTGCTTTTGCCAAAATGGGGAGGGCGACTTCCATTCCTCTTGCTCCCGCCGTAAATTCTACGGAAACCACCAACACCAAGACCTCCCCTCAAATATATCTTCCGAGCCATGGAAGCTGCACCATTTCATAAAATGGCATCACTTTGACCGTATGCATTGTTTAGAAAGATATATTTTCTGCTTTAGGATGGTAAAAAACAAGATATACCATACAGGGCTTTATGTTTTGTGAACTTGGTAAAAAAATAATTATATAAAATTATATCACCTACAAAACAATATTCACATTGTATGTATTTTTATTGAAATATAATTGATAAAACACTTAAATATACATTAATTTTTTTTTTAATCCTATACATATTAGATCAAAAATGAAATATTATTTAAATAAATCCTCTCCAGCCCAAGTCAATTGAACCGATAACCAAACAAACCCTAACCAGTCAAGTTCAATAAGAAAATTATAAATATAGGATAATGGATCAATATGACTTAATATGCTACAATGCACATGCATCTATATTTACGTTATTCTATTAACATAATTCGGTAAATACTCTTAAATTGTTCCATATTTGTTCAGAATGAACAGAATGGGTGTGAACAGAAGTATTACAATAATCTCTCATGTGACTAACAGCAATTAAATTATTTTGACAGCTGGAGCAGGTAACAAGATGCTAAGGCAGTGCATATTTATATCACACAATGATAACCAACAACAATCACTTGGCATAATATACCAACATCAGGATTTTATATCAGATATTACAATTTACAATCATAATACTTGATAGTTTATCAGAGAAATGAAACTTAGCCATGTACTCCTCTGATTTTAGTTTATTCTACTTGCAAATTACAAACATGTGGGGCATCTTCAAGTTAAAAAATACAAAATTATTGCAATGAATTAAACTATAGAACTACATGTTAACATTTTCCATCAATAATAGAAATTTGCAGGTAAGGAAATAAAGAAATAGCATGAATTATAGATAAAACATCAGATAAACAATAATTGCAAACCAATATATGCATCAAAACCACCAAATGATAAGAGATCTGAGATTATTACCAGCCCTGATGTAGTACCAATCGGGATCATATGGAGCAAGTTCTTTGAGCACACCAGTTTTCACAATATCCGTCCACTCGGGTAGTTCCATCTGTTAAAATAAAGAAAATTATGATTAGCAATAAAAAAATATACGGTCATGAATTTCATCTATGCCATTCATATATCTTATCGAACATCCATCCCACTGTAAAATAGCCAAAAGTTTTAAGATTTTAGCAGTTTTTCACTACACGGAATTCGCAAGAATCCATTATCTAACCCTTTTATATCCAAAGTCCAATCATTCCATTACGAACGAAAAGCAATAAGTTCAAAGAATGGCACAATCACAATCTCAAATTCTTGAGCTGCTCAGTTCAATGTTCGACCCAAAACCCGCGATTGGAATCGTGTTGACTAATTTGTGGTATAGATAAATCCGTCGTGCCAAAAACACCAGCAAAATTAACCACACAAAGCATTAAAACAACCGCAAAAATTAATAAGTAAATAATCCACAACTCAAAAAACCGAGATGCAATAACAAATGAATCCAGGAAAATCATGCCTTGCCGGATCGCTTGAGGTGAGCCGCGTAGGCTTTAACAAACTCGTGCGGTGAGGCATCCTTAACAGTCCTTGCAGGCGCCGCCATTGGTACGATATCTGACGCCACTATAGAAACCTACCTCTGAAGATAACGAGCTGCGGAGAAGGAAACGGACGGTGAGGTGCGGAGAGAGATGACCCGCCTAGGGTTTTCGAGCTTTATATTTTGTTCCAAATTATTTGGGCTTAGGCCCAACACATTGGACCGAACTTTTATTTTTCGAGCCCAAATATAAAACACCTATGTAAGTTTGTAATTTTTTGTTTGTTTGTTTTTGGGTTTCAAGGGTGTGTTTGAGTTTGTTTTCGCTGTGAACTTCGCACGAACCAAACGTATTCAATGTAGGGTTTTCTTCCACGTCCATCTCAATGTGTTGCAGAATCAGTCAGAGGAAGCCGAAGAAATGGAATAGCACGTAGAATAGGTTGATTAAACGATTCTAGATTTTTGTTTTCAAATCGGGCATTTGGTCTAGTGGTATGATTCTCGCTTAGGGTGCGAGAGGTCCCGAGTTCAATTCTCGGAATGCCCCATTTTTTGATATTTTTTCCGAGGGTTTTGGCTGAATCTGGGAAACGAGGAAGAATTTTTGGTTTACTGAAGCAGAATTGCAGCGGGGATTGGGGAAGGCTACAATGTGGATTCTGAGCTTGAGCCGATTTCGTTTTTTATCGGAGGTTTAAACTCATTTGTGATTTCATAAATTGCGCCGACGATATTTGTTTGTTTGTTTTTTTTTTTTGAAGATGTTGTTGCATTTATTAACTCTTTATAGCAGATTCCTGGTCTTCGAGTTGGGGATTATGGTTCTTCGGAAGATTCCGAGCAGATTCATCGGTGATCGTGGCTCGATTTTTGCTTTTCCTAGGTGGTAAAGCTCATCTGCGCATAAAAAAATTGCTCGACAATGGTAATTTGTCGATTATACACTAATTTGAAGATCATGCGATAATTAGGATATTGTATTTCTGATTCGCGCGTTCAAGTTTAGGAATTAGGGTTCTTCGGAACTGCTAGATTGGGAACCGTCAGTTTGGACAGGTGGATTGTTGCCGAAAACCAGTAGATATGCATGAAATTCGAAAAATCATTTTGATTGACAAGTGACAAAGATAAAATCAATAGTTTCTCATTATCAGGCATTTTGTTAGAAAATAGAGTGATTTGAATCTCCGAAAATGGCGCTCAACCAACCAAAAAAAAACATTGTTCTTCCAAATTAAACCCTGGAATCACTTTTGTGGCCTTTCCGGTGCCCAAAATCATTCATCAACGTTTGTTGATCAGGATCGAGAAAATTCAAAGGTTTTCTGGATTTACATTCTCCTGTTTCTCTTCCAGAAGGTTTTGCTAAGTGTGATACCTTAGTTCATCTCATCTACGGAAGAGAGAAGGAAAACCTTGGACACAGAACGGGATTTGGATCTCGCGGTTTCATGAATTAGGTATGTCTTAACAATTCAGAAAATTTTCGGCTAAATTTTTATTTGAAATGGAATTTGAGAATTAGGGTTCATCAGATTGGATATCTTTTAATTACGAAGAGGGATTGAAATTTCATTGCTATGTGGCATTTTGCGTCTCTAGGTCAATAATGGAAGGTTTTTGTCATCTTCTTGCAGCATTGTTGATTATCTAATTTCTGCAACATTCATGCCTTCTGCAATTTGATAATCCTGTCCTGTCTTTGATGAATATCTGCACAAATTGATCATTATTGATTAGAACAATGGTTAGCATGCTTCTATCCAGACATTTGAACAAAATGGCATGAAGATCAGTAAGAACACAGAGAAATTTAGAATCAGGTGTGGTTGGAAGAAATGTTAGATTATGTATATATGTTTTATTGAACTGTATGTATCATTTCTACACATCTCTGCTTCCATTGTTGAACTTGAATTTAGTTTGTTGAACTCATTCCCTGCTTTCTTCTATTGCCTTTCTCGTCAGTCTGTGATATATATAGCTCGAGGACTTGGATGAATCTTCGGAAAATGGAGCCAGAAAACATTAAAGAACATCTGAAGAAGAATTCTGGGGATGATATTGGTGGTGCACCAGGAAATATTAAAGATTCATCATCTTCTTCCTTGGAGCATCATAATGGTGACTCAGGCCATCTTGACGATTCTCCATCAAAAATCACCGGTCAAATGCCTCAGTCGAGCACATCAAGTGAACCCCTTGTCACGAAGAATCAATTTCCAGAATTGTCGCCAATGAAATCTCCCCCGGTGCAAACAATGGGACAGCCTCTGGGCTACGATCCAAACCGGATACCTGCCTCTGTCTTTGCCACAAAACCAGAAAACACCGCAGACTGGAGTACGAACTCAAATGAATCCTTATTCAGCCTTCACATTGGGAATCACAGCTTCTCTCATGACTACGCGATTATGTTTGGAAAGTCCGGTGAATTGCCTGGATCCGAAGATTGGAACAGCTTTTCTGCCAACCCGTTTAAAGCATCGCGTGAACTCCCCAGGCTCGATGAATGGAACAACAAAGCTCCACCATCCAATCCCCATCATCAGCCAAAACCTAATGACTCGAACCACCTCCCCCCAGCCATGGAAGCTCCGCCAACAAGGGCACCCTCGGGAAAACATTCGGAAATCAAGAACAAAGATGACGATCAGATTCAGAAATCATCTATGGAGAGTGAAGCCGTGGTTAAACCAGGTGCTGATCAATCTGTTGCATCGCCCAGCGTCAAACTTTCCGTGCCGGAGGCTGCTTCTCCTCCAGTAAATGCGACCCTCACTTTTCCGAGTCCTCCTCGCTGTTCTGACGGGAGTGGAAACAGCAGCAGCTCGTTCGCATTCCCATTGTAAGTAAAGAATCCTTCTTATTTACCTGCAACTATAGATCTTATAATTCGGCGCTAACTTGAATCTCTCCGTGCATCAGATTGGCGAACGGTAGCGCGAAGAATGCTGCCTCTTTGAAAGTTGTACCGGAGAAAACCGATGATTCAGAAGCAGAATCGCAAACACAATCACAACCTCAGCCGGAAAGTGCTGAAGAAACGTCGAAAGCTCCAGCCAAGTCGAGATGGTGTTCTTGCTTCCCATGCTTCCCGCAGTGCTGCTGACATTATATGGTTCCATTTTTCCGACCCTTTATTTGGCTTATGGCGTGCTTATAAGCTTCATTGAACTGCGCCGGGTATGTTTTCGGGTCTATTATATGTCTGGAAACTCTACCTTAAGAAGAAAAAAATGTCCATAACAATTTGGGGGGACTTGTTTAAGTCCTTGATGTGATGATAACTCTTGCTTTGAAATGAAATTGTGAAATCCAGAGTTTATTATAATTCTTTTCTAATATGGGAATTATTGTTGTTATTTTTCGGGGGCACATGAAGAAATTCTCACATATATATATATATATATTCTCTTCTTTCTAATCAGTCTCATCTCATTTCTCTAAATTCAATTGTGGTCTACATTTCTCTATTTCATACCACGTCAGCACTGCGCCACTCATTTAGACTAAATTCGTCTCATCTTCTTTCTCTTTCGTCCTCACTCAGTCTTTCTCTAGTCTTTCTCGCTTTTCGAATATCCGGACAGTTCATCGTTTATCTTCTTTTTTTTGAATCTATCACCTACAGGCTGTCACATTAAAATTTCTTTGTTAATAAGTGATACTATCTAAAAAAAAATATTTTATTCATGTGTTGATAATACCTATAATTTATTTTTGCTCAAAGTTTCCAAAAAGTCCATGATGACCCTGATCATGGCATTTCAATTAAAAATCGAGTAAACCCTCGTGCAGGCGAGGCACGATCGACGGAGTCCTTTTTTAACTTTTTCATTTTTCCATTGCCCTCTCTCTCTCTAGGCGCTCGCTCTGGTCTTTCCATCTTCCCCAAATTCATTCCTATCCCCATTGCTGAAGACTGTTGTCCTCTTGTCATTTCATCGTGAGGTCCCTCCATCTGCAGCCTTTCGCTCTATATTTATTTAAATTACATAAATTTTATACAAATAAGAAATATAAATTTTTTTAGATAATTCTTTTGAATAGAATAAATAAATAAATAATTGATTAATTCTTACGTATTGTTATCTGATTTTTATAAAAATTATAAAAATAAATAATTTAATCAATTATTTATTTTATATTATTAAAAGACTTATTTATAATATTTTACACTTTTTATTTGTATAAAACTTATATAATTTAGGTATTTATTTAGAATCAAATATCAATTTTGGACAAGAATGATGTTTCATATAAACTTTATAGTAACACATTTCACGCAATAAATTAAATATAAAATACTTTATGCAATTTTTACTAAAATACAAAAGAGTGTGTTATATAATTTATTTATTTACTATATTTATAATGGCAACACAAACATGGGCATGTTCAATATATATACAACCCATTGTTGTAAAAACACAAGTGGAGTTGTGTCTAGAAACGAAACAGTCGTGTTAAGCAAATAGAATAGCGTCTTGTATATAAATACAACCATGTTAATTTCACACACGACCTTGTTCAAGCAATAAAGTAGTGCCTCGTGGGGATAGGCATGGCCGTATAGGAAACACAACCGTGTTAATATTATATACGCCTGAATGTTAAAAAATACTCCCTCCGTTCATTTACAACGATTACATTTACTTTTGGCGCGGTATTTAAAAAATAATAGTATTTTTATTATAGTGAATAATTAAAAGTAGTGTAATAACATTTTTGCCCTTACTTTTTTGTGTAAAAGTAACGATGTGATGTAAAGTAAGGGTATTTGTGAAAAAAAATAGAGTATTTAATGAAATGTAAACTTTGTAATTGGACGTCCCAAAATAGAAACATGTAAACTTTGTAAGCGGACGGAGGGAGTATATTATTCGCCTCTCTCGACCCACAGTAATGTTAATGTTGGATAATGAATTTAAATAATTTTACTAGTTTAATTTGAAGTTTATTAGGTTCCTTTCTATATATTAGGGGTGAGCATTCGGATTTTTCGAACCGATCAGAAAATTCGAAATTTTGAAAAAACCAATCCGAACCGAACCGAAATCCGAAAATTCGTAATACGAACTAAAAAATCCGAACCAAACCGAAAAATTCGAAATTTTAAATATTTTTATTATTTTTTTAATTTTTTATATTTTATTATTATTTTATAATATTAAATATATATGATATATAAAAAGTAAATATATTAAAATATAATTAATAAATTTGAGTTGTTTATATTAAAATATAATATTTTCTAATTAAATATTAAATATGTATAATAAAAAAATATATTAAAATGTTATATTTCGGATTTCGGATTGGTTCGAATTTTAAGTATACCGATCCAATCCGATCCAAAAATCCGAAAATTGTTAAAAATTCAATCTGATCCAATCCGAAAATCTGAACCAAATTTTAAATTTTGATTCGGTTCGAATTGGATTTCGAATTTCGGATATTTTGCTCACCCCTACTATATATATTTATTATGAACTTACTTATTTATAAATACTTTTACTTATAATATCATTATATTATTAAAAAAATGTTTTTTTTTCAAAATAAAATTAAAAAATGGTAATCGTTAAAAAAACAGAATACTGCACAGTTGTGCCGAACGCCATTAAAAGAATAAAAAAATATGATCTAGATGATGTCCGTGCCAAACGCCAATAAAAAAAAAAAAAAAGAAAACATCTCATGTTTTTCACATTCATTGGGTTGGTGTCCATTAAAATTTGAAATAGTACCCAATCCGTTTTTAAGCTATATATAATACTTCTTTCGTTTCGAATATTTTGTCAGCTTTACTGTAGACACAAAAATTTAAGAGGAGTATTAAATTAATAAATAATTAAAAATATATTAATAAAATAATTATCGTATAATAAAAATAATTATAGATTAAGATTAAGATAAGTGATTAATATAATTAAAATAAAAAAATTATAAATTAAATTTTTAAAATAAGATTAAAGTGTATAATTCTTTTTAAAAAAAATAAAAAAATAAGTGGGACAAACGAAAATGGAAAGATAGACATAAGAATGGGACGGAGGGAGTACTTACTATTCTTTAATACATGTAATTTAATTTTTTATTTTTTTTTAGAAAAAGGCAAGGAATTCAATAAATTTTTTTTGATGAATATCCGGAAATTAATAAAGAATAATAGAAATAAAAAAAAGGAGTCAAATCTCAAATAAACTTTTTATGCAATTTTTCTTAATAATATAGTCAATTTAAAAATGTTAAAATATGACTAGATTGTTTATATTTATATTTGAAATATTATAAATGACATACATAATAATAAATTATACAAAAATAAAAATTATATTAATAATATATTCAATAAATAAAATATACTAACGCAATAATAATAACATCATAACCGCCAATAATAATAAATACTAATTTTATGGTTAGAGTTTAATTTTAAAATTAGAATTGAATTTGGTAATTATAGAGACAAATATGGAATAAAATTTAAATTATATTTTATATCTAATAATAATAAGATAAAATTTAAAAATATGGATCATTTTGAACAATTGCTCATATTGTTCATGCTATTAGCCGACTCTATGTATACATATATATATAAAACAATATAATGATGTATTGTATAGTAGTATGTGCCCTAGAATATATATTTTTCTAAAATAAATAATACATTATGTTATATATTATATAAAATATTGTCAAAATATATATTGTATAGTGTATCATGTGGGGTGAAATATATATCCTCTGTTTTACTGTGGCTGATTGAATAAATTTGGACAACAATGCTTGAAAGTGATACTAAAAATGCCGCTTTTAATTGATAGTGTCGCTAAAATATTTAATAAGTTAATATACTTGTCTTCCCACTAAAATTCTCAGTCATGTGTTGTCGTTAATGTATTTTAATTTTAATTTTTATGTTTTGTTGTCCCGAAAGAGATGATATGGTGTGGATTGAATTCGTAATCGTGAGATTATGAGTTTAAATTTTTTTAACTATCTGCGAGTATGATACTGTGTTATCTTATGTGTATTTCTTTTTACACGGACAAACCAAAACACGTCGCGTGCTCAAAAGATACCTACCTAGTATATCATTTTTGTCCAAATTTATGCCTCGTGTTATTTGAATAAAAATAGCATCGGATGATTTGGGCAAAGCAGAAAAGAGAAATTTCTAGATTAGATTATCGTAGAGAATGAAGATACACATTGTGTGTACGGAAGAAAAATAAAATTAAAAAACTAACTAACTGACTGAAAAGAAATAGGCCAAAAAACTTAAACTAAATGACCCAATACAAATAATTAATTGATGGCCCAACTTCTATAACTAACTTTATCACCCTCTCACGGCGAGGATGTCGTTGTATAGCTAGGAGCGAAGTTGCAAGAAAGTTGGGCTAGGAAGAGGTTTTGTGAGGATGTCAGCTAACTGATCACCACTAAGCATAAAGACAAGAATGAGGAATTTGTTTTCTTAAGAATGTCGGATAAAATGACAAGCAATGTCGATATGTTTAGTCCACTCGTGAAATACGAAGTTCTCAGTAATGTTGATAGCAGCCTGGTTGTCGCAGTAAATTGAAACCGGGGTATGAAATCCAAATTTCAAAGCATGAAACATGTAAGATAACCACACAAGTTTGCTCATACACGAGCTCATACTCCGGTATTCAGATTCCGCGGTAGAGAGGCTGACAGTAATTTGTTTCTTGACTTTTCAAGAAACCAGATTATTGCCAACAAAAGATACAATAGCCAGAGATGGACTTCCGACTGTCCAAACAAGCGCCCCAATCTGCATCAGCAAAGGCTGTGACATTCAAAGCAGGATCACTAGAGTAATACAAGCCAAGATTGACAGAACCCTTGAGCTAGCATAGAACATGCAGAGTAACCTTTCAATGACAAGACATAGGGATGCAACATAAATTGGCTTAACTAATGTGTCGCAAAAGTGAGGTCAGGGCGAGAAAAATTGAGATATAATAAACGGCCAATGAGACGTCTGTAGGAGGCAGGATCAACCAAAGGAGCACCATCAAAAGTTGAGAACTTGATCCCAGGTGGCAGAGGAGTTTCAACTGCTAAAGAAAAATGCATATCCATATCCTCAAGAATGTCAAGATATACCATTTTTAGATAACATTAAACTAGAAGAAGACTGCGTAATCTCATTAACCAAGAAGAAATTTGTGTCACTAAGATCTTTAATAGTGAAAAGATAATTGAGATAGGTCTTGACTTTACTAATCAACCCAACAAAGGAACCAATAAGAAAGATGTAATCCATATATACTGTCAAGGCAAGAATATCAGAACCCCTGTGAAGAATAAAAAACAATGATCATGAGGAGATTGATAAAATCCGAAAGCAAGAACTTTTGTAGCAAGAGTTTGGAACCAAACTCGCGGGGCCTGTTTAAGCCAACCTGTTGTATAAGCCAACCTTGAGCAATACCCGGAGGATGATGGAGATAGACCCCATCGTCAAAAGTTCCATGTAATAAGGCGTAATTGACACCAACCTGTTGTATAAGCCAACCTTGAGCAATACCAATGGCCAAGAACAGTTGGACTGTAGTGCATTTTGTCACAAGTGCAAAGCTTTCATGAAAATCTTTTCATTGCTCCTGAAGATAGCCATTGGCGACAAGTTGGACTTTGCATCAAGAAATTGCACCAGTTTTGTCCCTTATAATTTAGTATAACCATTTGCATCCTATAACTTTTTTTTGGGGAGGGGGGGGGGGGCGTGCATGTACATCCCATGTATAGTTCTTCTCAAGGGTATCAAGTTCCTCTTGCATAGCTTGTATCCACTGAGTATTATCTGCAGTTTCAACATAAGAGGTTGGTTTATCATTATTGGTAGTACAAGGATAGATATAATCTTTAAGCCAATCAGGTTTCCTAACCTCCCTGTGGGGTTGTGTAGTTGGTGGCGTAGATGATAGTTCAACTGCTATAATAGTAGGAAAAGAAAATTCAGCATCTGGCGTAGGGGTAAATCCGTTGCTGTAGTTATAGGAGAGGAAGATTCAGCAGCCAAGGGTGAAGAAACCTAAGAAGTATGTTAAATAAGAGAAGAAATGTCTGTAGTTCAAGATTTTGTGTCTTTATGGCCAACCATAGGAGAAGGACAAGAGTCAAAGATAAACGTAGCACAACTTAATCCATAAAACACCGATTCAAAGAAAACCACATTTCTGGAGATCAAGAATATTCTAGTTGAAGGGATGAAAACCTTGTAACCTTTTACTTTCTTTTTTTTTTTTTTTTTTATAACCAGTGAAGATAGCTTTAATTCCTCTGTTACTAAATTTGTCCTTTGTAGGGTCTGTGTTATAAACAAAACACAAACATCCAAAGACCTACAGTCCATCAAGATCAGGTTTTCTGTTATATAAGACCTCATAAGGTGATCTCCAATTTAGCACAAGACTGGGAAGGATATTGATTAAGTGGGTGGCTGTTAGAACAACCTCTCCCCAAAACTCAGTAGTGAGATTAGTTTGAACCTGCAATGTCTTAGCAATTGAGATTAAGTGCTGATGTTTCCTCTCCAATCTATCATTCTGCTGTGGAGTGTAAGGGCAAGACTTGAAGTGACCAACTCCATTATCTTCTAACAGATTCTTGAATGCCAAGGAAGTAAACTAACCTTCAAAGTCTGTTCTCACATTCTTCATTTTGAAATTAAACTAAGTATGAACTAATCTGATGAACACAAAAAAGACATTCAAGACCTAAGATTTAAGTTGCAACAAGAAAATTCAGGTACTTATGCTATAGTCATCTACAATGGTAAGAAAATACTTTGCTCCACATGTATATGGTAAGTGGATAAGGGGCCCAAATATCGAGATACAATAGAACAAAAGAATAATAAACTTTATTAACACTCAAACCAAAAGGTAAATGTGTCATTTTAGTTGAATGACAAGCATCACAAGGTAAAGAAGCATATTCAACATCCTTATTCTAAAAAAAGAGTTAGACGTAAGTTTATGTGGTACCAAATTAGATGGATGTCCTAATCCCTGATGCCAAGGAGTATCCAGCTTTACATCACATATTCGATTATTGTAGCCCTCTAGATAGAACAACTGATCTTTAAACACTTATTTTCCAAGTACTTGATGATCATGGTCCTGAATCAAGCACTGATTATTCTTAAAAATCACAGATAAGCCAGGTGACAAGCAAAGTCTGCATATAGGTGCCAAGCAATATTTGAAAGTAGAAAGAAAATAGACATCAAGTAGAGTAATATTTTCACTCAAACTCACTGTGCATGTCTATTTTTCTAACTACACTGTTCTATTGGGCATGAAAACTTTAATAGGGCTACCAAACGGTATCAAACAATCAAATAGCTTCATGTCATTGGCTACATGGCATGTAGCCCTATTGTCAAGAATCCAACCTTTAAATGTATTCACTTTATTATATGCATTTATATAAACAATACCTTTAACATTCAAGAGCTTTCGTAATCTCTCTTTATATCAGATCACTTAAGGCTTCACTGGATGATAAAGAGCCTGAACTGTGAGAGTTGAACCCAATATTATAAAGAAACAACCAATGTAGTATCTTCACCAACTTGAAATGTAGTCTTAGTTGATTGACATTGTCCATTCTCTCTCATTTTCTTATATAGTTTTCCTTATTTCAATTAGGATAAACGTGAAGTTTGAAACATTAAGCTTTGGCATGTCCACGTCTCTTGCAGTGATCACAAAATCAAATTTATTTTCTCTATTCTATCGAATCTTCTTTCTGTTGTTCTTTTATCAACATTTCAAATGTTCTAGAGTTAGCAAGCAACACAGTGGGTGAAAGATCCTTTAACATATTGTATACCTCTTGCTGTTTTTCAACAGTTGAAAGTATACTATATACTTTGTTCACATCAGGCAAATGATCCATCATCAATATTTGATTTCTTATGGCATAAAAACTATCATTTAAACCCATGAAATAATCAATTGTATCTAAGTTTTGGAGGTAGAAATCAACTTCATTTCTGTCAATAGGCACAGGTGCTATGCAAGACAATTAATCTTTCAAACCTAAATTTTATTAAAATATGCAACCATAGAAAGATTACCTTGATATAGCCAACTTAGTTTCTGCCATAGTTCGTGACTTGTCTTGATGAGACTAAATGCAATTGTGATTTGTGGAGCGATTGAATTCAATAGCTAGCCGAGTACTATATCATCATTTTTTTTTCCATTCTAAGGCATCTATTGTATCTTTAGATCGCTTGATCTCTCCGGTCAAAAATCTTTTTAAATCATTTTGCTGAAAGAGCTCTCAACACAAATGTGCTCCAAATCAAATAATTTGTCTCCGTGAGTTGAAGACGAATAAGGGTCATGTTAGGTTGATCATGAGAAGAAATTTTCAGCTGCATCATGGACGAATTTAGTGTGCTTCCGGGAGAGGAAGATGAATTTATTGACATCTCACAATTTCAAAAAAACGATGGCTAGAAACAACAACAATAGCATGAATAAACCCAGAAAAGATGAAATCAATTAGTCAAGAAAATGAAGAACAATAATCGATCAAACTTATCCTAAGCTCTGATACCATGATGATCTGGGCAAAGAAGAGAAGGAAAATTTCTAAATTAGATTATCGTAGAAAATTAAGATACAGATCTGATATTGTGTTTAAAGAAGAAGAACATAATTAAAAAACAAATTACTACCTGGAAATAGACCAAACAAACTTAAACTAAATGATCAATACACATGATAAATTGATAGCCCAATTTCTATAACTAATTATATCAACATCTACTTATTATTACGATTATTATGATTATTACTAGACAAATTTGCTTATAATTTATTTGTACTTTGAAAAATTTACATTATATTTGTTTATAAGTTTTTTAAAATATTATACAAAATTTCTTAAAAAAAAAAGTTATGTGCATTATTTTTTTAAAAGCATAAAAAATCTACAACTAAATTATAAGAAAGAATAGTGCAAAACTTTCAAACAACTAAAGAATTATAGTTATTTTGCCCTAAAAAAAGAATTGAAGAATTTTCGAAAATAGTCTAAGTGGGTGGAAACCATTGTTAAGAAGGCCCATTAATGTCGGGCCTACTAATGGGCCTTAATTCATTTATTGACCGGCTGATGGCCCACCACATTATTAATTTCCATGGATTCCACAGGACCATTTTTATTTAAAATATATCATAAATGCAATAATTATAAATTGCCACCCTCACATGTCTATAATATAAAATATAACATAATATTTTAGGGGTTGGACTTGTGACCGTGAAGTCATGGGTTCAAAACCCCGACGCCTCAGGTCACCTGCCACACATGGTTCGCCTAGTGTGACTTTCCCGTCGGTCCTGATTTGCAGGGTATTAGGTTCGACCGGGGGTTTATCCAGTGCGTACTTTTGAATAACAGTTGCAGATTCCCACTGTCATAAAAGAAAAAAAATATATATATATAATATAATATAATATATTATAAAAATAATTTAATCGAAATGTTAGCTGTCCTCATTATAGTATAAATTATGACATGCTTTCCAATGGAATTCCATTGTGAGTGGTCAACAACTATTAAAATTTCATGTACAACTCACCTTAATACTACTAATATATTCATGCCTCAACTGTCATTAATTTTTAGAAACAAATTTAAAAAAAAAAATTAAGGGTATTTTTTTTTAAAATTATATATATATATTAGAAATCATAATAACATAACTTTTATTTTACAAATAATCATATTTAAATTTTATTAAGAATATATTTTCGAATTACTCCCTCGGTAATATAAAAATAAGCTGATTTGATTTGGACATGAGTTTTATATGATATGTATTTTTTGTATTTTATTGTAAAAAAAATATAAAAATAGTAAAAATAGTATATATATATTAAAAGAATATGTTTTTTTTTTTATGACACACAAATCTTTTATTTATTTATTTTTATTTTTTATGATAGTTTGAATAATATTTTAAATTTATAACATTAAAAGTTTGTTTGGTTGTGATTTAAAATTAATTTGAGACAAAATTTTATTTTAAATTTTTGCTTAAATAATATTTTGATATAATATTTTATAAAAAGATAATAAGTAATATATATATATATATTATTTAAAACCATACAAAATAAGTAATATTAATTTGAGTTCGAAATAGTAAATAAACAACATATCAAGGACACCTTTGTTTTGTAAATTAATTTATGATATACTTTATTATTATTATTATTATTTAATTTTTAGTCTATTTATTTTTAATTTAATCATTTTGAGCTCTTATTTATTTGTTAAGTTAATTCTAGTCATATTTATATTTGTTTAATTTTAGTTTTAATTTTCAATTCCGTTATAAATTATAAAAATGAATAATTTTCACGACCTTCATATTTAAAAATAAAAATTAAATATATTAATATATACAAAATAAGATTAAAATGACCCTACCAAGATCCAGATAAATAAAAAATTAAAATATCAAATAAAGGTGGATAAATAATAAGATTCATGTTTGGCTTATGTTTTTCGATAAAAAAATAATTTGGCTTATATTTTTCGATAAAAAATAATTCTTTATTTTATTTTATTTTATTTTTTTACATAAATTCAAACCGCTCAAACCATTTTATACAAACTTAGACCATATAAACATATTCTATTCTTTTGAAATTTAATTTTAGTTAAATTCGTATTATATAATCATTACGATTTTAATTAGTTAAATAGATTCTTTATATTCAAATAATGAAATAAACAAAAAATTCTAAAAGAGCACACCAAATTTGTATATATAATCTTTTAATGAGATATATTTCTAAAACTAAATAAATAAAACAACAAAAGAAAAATAATGAGAACTTGTAAAGAATTTGGTTAATAAGTTTCAACTTATTTATGTCATCATGTCAAAATTTTCATTATTTTTTTTTTCTTTGCAAAAAGGATCGTTGATTTTTTTTTAGAATTTTAATTTTATTGTTATTTTTATCAGTTTTACATAAAGTATCTCTTGCATTTCTAAGTTCACCTTAATTATCGAATTGCCTATTTTTCCTCATAACTTTTATTTCATTTCTCTTAGAGGTCTACTTTGTTAACTTATCACATCTAATATATTCTCTCCGTTCCATATCTATATATCTATTTCTTTTTTGCATGGAGTTTTAGAAATATTAGTATTATATTGGGATAAAGTAGAAATAAAGGTAAAAGAACTAAATTAACCATATTGGTATTGTATGATATAAAAGTAATGACGTTTGTGTAATATATTGTAAATTGAAATAATATTTGTAATGTTAGGTAGATAGAACAATTACTAAAAAAAGAAATAGATATTTTGTAATGGGACGAACCAAAATAAAAAAATGGATAGATTGTTAAGGGACAGAGGGAGTATCGTTCAAGGATCCTATACTTACACCAAACAATACTAAAAGCATATGTATAGTCCTCATAATTTTTCATTTTTGACTATTGTGTATATTTCTCGACAAATGAGCAAAGTGTCCAAGCTCCCTAAATGTGTCTTGATGAAGTCGTAAAGATAGAACTTGAGTGATGTACGAGTTTATAGTGGACAAGAAACTTAAAACACAACTCGATCAAATAAAGTATTAGATAGTGTCAATCATGCAATACCAAGAACCAAACTCATATATTTACGAATCAAAGACAAAGAGCACATAACACACAATTTCTCAATCTATCCGCCTCAGCTATGAACATGCTGATTTCAAGCTCCACAACCTCCAAAGTCCACACTAGAAAATCACACATTTTTACTAACATATCAAACCTATATGCAAACTTAAAATCTTGTCCAACTTGATTATGGAAAAACTGATTACAATAACTTTTTTTTTTTTTTTTTTTTTTTCATATCACAAGCTTTCTAATGACATATTACACGTGACAATCGGGGTTCGTATGAGAAAATTACAATCCAAACGAGATTATTGACAAAAATTATTCTAGTTTTTTTTTTAAAAAAAAAAATTCGATTTTTGACTTTTTCAAATTTTTTTAATATTTTTTCCCTCTACTTTTTCACGGTCATTTTACGAGGCCTAGTCTAAACACTACAATCACATTGACCCCTTATATTTCCAAAACAACATCTAAGTAAACAATAATTTAACCTTACTTCACCAACAATGAATCCAAACGAACTAATAAACTTCTAACATTTAGCACAAGAGCATGTAATGTGCAATTATAATCACTTGTCAATAAATTCACAAGTTTGAATTCATATAATACATATGAATATATTGTGGACGTTGTACTGTAAGAAACATAGATGATCAAATTGTCTACACTAGAAGACCAAAAGAACACAAAAATTGAGATCAAATTTTCATCTAGGATTTGCAATAAAAACTTTAACTTTAGCAACTAAATGAATACATACTAAGGAATATATATATATATATATAGATTTTTTGTTTTGGAATTTTTGAATAAAAAAGATAAGTGTAAAATATCAAACCACTTTTATACCAAAATTTATATATGTCATGGCTCTGATACCAAAATTTAAATATGGCATATCTCTAATTAATCAATTACACAAGAAATAGAATAAATTAGCTAAATGGTACTAAGTAAATAAGAAAAATGATAATTGAAAGAGAAGTAAACTCAAGTTAATACTATCACATGCAAGTATGACATGATATATTTTTAACACCAAACTATCCTCTACAAAAATACCATCTCAGTCGATATTATGGAGAGTCCTTTCACCTTTCCAAATGTCACTAATTTGAAGCCTTATACTCAAATTCGATTCTAAAAACCAAACACCGTGAAATATGCAATTAAATTGCACTCTATAAAATATTAGGGTAAAAAAAGTATTGCTATAAAACATTACTTTCATAAAAACAACATACTTCCAACTGACATAATTCAAGCTCCAACGTGACTTCATTACTACGGCTCTTGATCAAGACAATCTATCAACAAGTCTTCGCATATTGTAACATGATCCTTCGAATATATTCCAATTTTCAAAATTCATTATCAAACTTTGAAATTTGTCAATGCATGTTTTCTCTTGGATTCTCAAACTTGGTCCGACTAAAAATTTTAGAATTGCGAATCCTCACGGGCATTCATGTCACCAACACTTGCCTTCACCTTTTATTTATTTATTTTTAAATTTGGATAATGGATCATTATATTTCTAGTTTGATGAATCTTCATCGGATAGAATTATCTAAAAAATTTTGGTTTAATTTAATTATAGATGCAACAAAAATTATTCGAGCAAAAATTATTCAGACAAAAATATACAGAGTTTTGCCATATAAGATCCATTGTCATTGTAATGTGTACGGTGATTTAAAATTTTAATATTTTAGATTAATTAAAAAAATTATAATATTTAATTTAAAACTAAAAAATTAAGTTGAATTAAAATTTTTGTTTTTATAGTTTTATAAATTTTATAATCATTTTATTAGATTTATATCATACACAGTATTATTTTAAATTCAATATATATATATATTTATTTATAATTACATGTTGTATATATATATATATATATTAAATACATACTTAAGATTACTATTAATTATAATTTCAAAATCTTACATCTATATATATATACT